ATACATGTTGACTTTATAAATTACAAATTAAAAAATGAATACTTCATAAACATTTTTTAGATACATGTGAAATATACTCTATCCAAAAACACATTGGACATTTGTAAAATGCACATCGAATAATTGTTTAATATACAATTAACATTTTTACACAAAGCTTGAATATTTGTGAAACATGTCATGAACTAATGTTATAGTTTTTCAAAGTGTTATATATTTTTTTGTATGTGATGAATACTTTCCTGAAATTGTACAAAAAAAATTTACATTTCTTTTTTAAATACCATGAAACATATTTAAAAAAATGCAAGGTCATTTTCCTGAATCGTCTATTTTTAATTGTGCAACTTATATTAAGAAATGTTTTATGCATATTAAAAATATATTCACCATCCATTAATGTTTGCCGCATATTAAAACATTGTTCATCATTTATGTAAAAAATATGCATTGTCGACTTTAAAAATATTAATAGTGTAATCATAAATGGTTATCATGTACCTATAATTATTCATCGTGTATTTGGAAATGGTTTATCTGTTCAAAAAGTGTTTCTACATATTTAGAAATGCTCATGTAAATTTCAAAGGTTGCTCATGTAAATTTCAAAGGTTGTTCATGAAATTCAAAGGTTGTCTTGGTTTAGATAATCTAGTCTGATTCGATCGCTTTCATGCATTGGCCCGTAGGTAATATGTGGCCTTCTCTTCCTTAATATAGCCAGAACAATGACTGCCATTGTAGCTAGTGCAAGAAAAACAACAGCTCTCCTGACCATCTTTTTTCTTGAAAGCTCGGCAAGTTTGACCCAATCTTCAATAGGTGTATGTGGTGGTGTGAGTCCGTGCAAGTGTGCGTGATTTTGTAATCGGTGTTTAAAAAAGACACCAGCATAAAACAATGGGAAATGTGTCATTCCAATGTGTAGGAGACAAAGGATTCCCGTCCAACTAATGATCCTTTTGGCATTAAATTTGTCCACTAGAGTTATCCTTAATAATAATATCATTAGGAAGAAGTGTCAAAATTATAATTTTCATTGTCATTGGAATTAACATCAAGAGTAAAAATGGCAGTCTTACTGGAAATGCCATTAATATAACATCATTTTTTCTGAATAATTAAATTTAGATGGCAAAATGGAATTAAAATTCTCCAAATAATAATTTTCATGCGAAAATTATCAAATATTAATATGGGCATACAAATGAAAATACATGTCGGTCATACTCTCATCAGCATTATTTGAGGCAACCCAACCCCCCAATTAAAGCATCAGGCTACTTTATTGCCAATTACCCGACAAAAACTTTCGTTTCACATCTGCCCAACATACCAAACATGTGGAGCGGTGCTGAAAGCCGAACACATGGCCACTGAAAATCACAAAAATATATGGCATCGTTCAATCGAAAAAAAATCTTTCAAATAGGATGCCAGAAAAAGTGACACCAAAAGTAATACCTCATAAATCAAAATTCCTAAATCAAAATTCTCATTATCACATAATTTTTGGCCATTTATATGGCCTAAAAGTTTATAAAACATAACCATAAATCATTTTAAGGCAGAGAAAATGTTTGAAATTCAGGAAAGCCCAAAAAGGACTCATTTTTAAGACTCTTTTTTGGTGCACGTTGGTCATGGGCGGAAGAACAACGGCAAACCAAACAAAGCCTAACCCATTTATCTTCGGGCCGTATATGTCGCATAAAGCGAGATGAAGCGGAACCCTCGCATGAAGCGGAGCCCCACAACCTCATTTCTTTTTCACGTTTCATGTGTTGTCTATTTTTACTTTTATTTGTACTTCCAAATATTTAACTATATAAATTATAAAAACTCTCCGCATAAAACGTTTGAAAAATATTAACCGAGCATTTAAAAAAACTGTTAAATGTGTACATAGAGAAAATGTTTAATCACGTATATGAAAATGTATACATAAAGATACACTGTGTATGAATTTTTTTATCATGTATTTATAAATGTTAATCAAGGATTTGAGAATTTTTTTGACCAAGTATTTAAAAATGTTAATCACGCATTTGAAAATGTTAAATGTATAAAGAAAAAATGTTGACAATGTATTAAAAAAATGTGAATCCTTTATTTAAAAATGGTAATCAAACATTTAAAAAAATTAGAAACAATGTTGACCATCTATTAAAAAATTCTTAATCTTGTATTTGAATTTTTTTAATCAAGCATTTGAAAAATGTTAAAAATATTTATATAAAAAATGTTGACCATATATTAAAAAATGGTAAACTTGTATTTGAAATTGTTAAGCGTGTTTTACAAAAATGTATTATACATATACCAAAAATGTACAATGTGTGTGGAAAAAATAGACATAAAAAATGTAGGATTTAAAAAAATGTTAATTATGTATTTAAAAAATATTAAACATGTATATAAAAAATGTTTCTAATGTATACGAAAAATGTAAAATCAGTACTAAAAGCCGACAAAAACCAAGAAAAAGAAGAAAGGAAACAAAGAAACCAGAAAAACCTAAGAAACCCGAGAAGGAAGAAAAAAACTGAAGGAAAGAAAAAAAATAAAAAAAACTTAGTGAAAACCGAAAAGACGAAGAAAACCAACACTGATCTATTCAGCACTCTATAGAGAGTTATAGTTCAAAAGTGTCCACCAGTAGATTAGCCCGGCAAAGCTGACCCCATTGCTCTTAAATCTCGGGCCCATCCCTTGAAATATAGTGGCTTATAATGAATACAAAGGAAATTTATGTATATGTGTTTCTTGTGTTTGATCTGCGAATCAATCTAAAAAAACAGTTGCATCGTCTAATTGCCGAATAACCAAACTGGTCAAACTTATGCAACCCAACTGATCAAAGACTAGTATCGGAACAGACGAAGCAGCAATAAAGAGAAGAAAAGAACTGTACAGGGTCAGCAAAAAGAAACATTGGAACTGTACAGGGTCATTCTGATTTGATCAGAATGGATTGATGGTGCCACCGGAACCACCAAGGCTGGAATCATGGAGTAAGATGGACAATGCACTTATACTTCAACATTTTTGTGGTTCAATAATTAGTTAGCTCTATGACATTTGGATTAACTCACACTGGTAGAATTCAGCGCTCTATAGAGACTTATAGTTCAAACGGAACTACTTGACGGATGCTTTTGTGTTGAACGACACATGCACGATAGATGATCCAAGCGCCTACAGCTGCTCAGACTTGCCAGTGGATGGTCTGTGATGTAGTGTCGTGCACGTTTCGGCTAGCAAGCGTCGTGTGTGTAGCACTGCTCTAGTTCAAAACTGTCCACTAGTGGAGTGGGCCGGCAAAGGTGGCCCCATTGCTCTTAAATCTTGTCCCCATGCCAAGAAATATCATGTCTTGTCACGAAGACAAAGGAAAAATTGTGTATACGCTTTCCTTACGGTTGAACTGCAATGCAATCTTAAAAATAACAGTTGCATCGTTTAATGGCTGAACAACCCAACCGATCAAAATGTATGCATGGACATGTTGACTTCAAGAATCATCTAAAGAATACTTAGATGCACATATTTGTTTTGCACTAGGTAAGCCTGTTACAAAAAATTCAAGTACTCGGCGGCCACCGCGTATAAGGCTCAATTCGTTCGTTTGACTCTCTCACCCATGGCGCATGGTTTGGAAGGCTCCCCCCCTCCCCCAAGGTTAAATTCTTCACTTGGTTAGCTCTACAAGACCATATTTGGACCGCCGATTGGTTCGAGAGGCGTGGATGAGCAAACTGTGGCCTTTGCCAACTATGCAAGAGAGAACAAGAAACGGGGCCATACCTCTTCTTCAAGTCTCGGTACACGCTCAGGCTATAGAGATCTATCATCGAGAAGCTTGGGCTACCTCACGTCAACACCTCAGAGTGGCATGCATCTTGATGAATCCGCCAACGAGTGGTGGGACAAACGAATCGATAACCAAAACCCAAATTGGCATGTCATGACCTCTCTCACCATGCTCATCTCATGGACCATTTGGAACGAGCGGAATGCTAGAGTGTTTCATGAAAACTTTACTCTACGCCTGTTCTCCTTAGATCCATTCTTGAAGAAGCAAAGTTATGTGTTACTACCGGCGCAAAGAAACTTGAGACTGTAATTTTGTGTGAGTAATTGCCATGCCATTTGCGTGGGGTGTTATGTAAAACTCAAAACTCTAATTGATGAGGCAAATCTTATGCCTCCATTTCAAAACAAAAACAAATTCAAGTACATTTCTCGTGAATGGGCTGGCCCTTAAAATCAACCTATTTATTTAAATTTATTGAATACTTGAAATAGCTTATTCGTGATTGTCAAGTACTCTTGAACTATGGTGGTCACAACAAGATGAAGCTACAGCCGGCTTTCACAACATCCCAAATCATGTACAGAAGCTCCGACGCCCTGGGGTGGGCGTGCAGTGGGGCGGAAGACGAGGGCAGCATAGGGGATGGACTGATCCAGCAGTCGTGTAAGCAGCTGACGTGATATGCATACACATCTACCTAAATTAAACTTGATCTTGGAAGAACTTATGTTGAACCAGGATGTTGTAACTTATGCCAGAACAAGAAGAAAGATAATACCTTGCAGAATCAAAGGAAGAAGATTGCTAAGCGAATAAGAACAACATTTTTAATAAAATACTTGAAAAAATGTTTTTCTTCTTCTGAATTGCACTCTCACCTCTGCAAACAATAGTGCAACATTGTGGCAACGAGACCCGATGGAGAAAGGATGAAGTACACGACCCAGAGTATGCATCGATGCATAATGTTTGGATGCCTCATATATACCAGAGGTTTTACAAATGTCTCACGTGGTCAAGAACCCTTTTTTACAAATATATAACACATTTCATGCACATGAGGAATATAATAACTTCCAAGCGAAGTGTCAAACATAACCAAACATATAACTTCATGTTCTGCAATAAAACATCCATGATGGATGCGTTATTCATATGAAATTTATAAACAAAGAGTCTACTTTTATGTTTCTCGCTTCTTCAGGATCATCGTGAGCCCATTTTTCATCTGTAGTGTACAAGACAGCTTGGGCTGGATGCTCTGCCCTTCCACCACCTCCATGTCAAAGTTCCAAACCACTGCCGCGACAACGGTTTTCATCTGCACAACAGCGATGTCCTTTCCAGGACACATCCTTGGGCCTGAGTTGAAGGACAAGAACTTGTGAGACGGTACATACATCAACTTGTTACCATCTTCTGAGAGCCACCTATGTGGGTTATAGTCGCGACAGTCTTTACCCCACACACCCTCCATTCTCGCCATGGAGTAGAGAGAAATAAGGATGGTATCGCCGGTGTGCACCTCATGGCCACTCGGCATGATATCATCGGTAGCCACTGTCTTGCGCTCAATTGGTGCTGATGGGTACAACCTGAGAGTCTCGTACAGGGCAGCTTTTAGATAGACCAAATGTTTGGTCTCCTCTGGCTCAAAGATCACCATGGAACTCTTACCCATGGCTACTTTGTGTGATGCAATGGGTGAGAGTTCATTGCGTATGATTGAAACGATGTTAGGGTTCTTGGCAAGGATATAGAAGATCCATGGCAAGGTGGTGCCAATTGTGTCCCTCCCACCGAGCATGAGGCTAAGGAGCTTCGCACGGAGCAAGTCATCGTCTGCGTAGTCTGGGTCATTGATGTAGGAGGACAGAACATCCACATGCTCTTGCTCCCCGTCATTACAAACACGTTCTCCATTGATCTTTTTCTTCTCTATCATCTCCATGAAGAACCCTCGTATCACCTTGTGCGCCGCATCAAGCTTTCTCTCTGGGCCGATGTTTAGCCTCCTCATAGCTTTCCAACAAGTGGCTGGCATGACATGCCGGAAAAAGCCTACCTCCATGACCGTGTCCATGGCAACTGCAACGTCCATGGACGGCATGTCCGAGGACAGGAGGCTAGGGTCCACGCCGAAGAGAGGCGTGGCAGCCAAGTCAAACACAAACCTCGAAATCACTTCTTGCATGTCAAATGGAGTGTCAGTGCTTGCCATATGGGTAAAGAAGGGGAGGAGGCCATTCTCTACCTTGTCGCGGCAGCATGCCGCCATACCGGAAACCAACCCTGGGCTGCTGAGCACGCTCTGGAATTTTGTGCGCTGCCGTCGCCATTGCTCACCGTCGACTGTGAAGATGCCTCCATCCATTATGTCAAAGATGGCTGCAAACTCGCGGCCCTTGGGGAAGTTTGCGTGGTTGGTTGTGAAGATGTGCCGGACGTTCCCAGGGTCACAAGTGAGAAATATGTGCCTTTGGGGAATATGTACCCTGAAGTTGTGGCCTGCTTCAGTAAGGATAGCAGCGAAATAGTCATGTGCATTATGGAGGTTGGCAATGACTCCAGGCAACATGTGCATTACTGGCCAGTCTGCGGGGAGCACTGACTGGCCATGTGATCTACTGCTAGACCTGAAGTACAAGTAGAGGAAAGCAAGAAAGACAAATACAACGGAGATGAGCAGCTCTTGCTCGCGCGAGAACAAGATCGCCATTGTTATGAGAAGTGTGGGATATGCAACTACTTAGATGTATGCTGCAATGGACATGGCGATGTCTTCATTTATATAGTAGTAGCAGCCATGTGCACAATAAATCATCGATTGGGAGATGAATTAATGCAGGAATCAGTTGGGAGACTATCAGTCACAAGTCACGGCTACTATTTATGGCCGGCAGTCGCGTTAATGATGTACTGTTCTATGTGAAGAAGACGGCGAGAGTTTAGGAAGAAGAAAAATTTTCTAACCTATGGGTGTAAGCAACCCCACATGATGATCCATCCGAACGTTTCGGTTCGGCCATTCTGTAGAAGAATATTTGGTGCGAGACCATTGCACTTGTAGGAAAATGTCTAGTACTAATGCCGTTTCGAAAATGTGGTTACCACGCGGAGGCAAATGCTGGTACTCCCTCCGTCTAGGTGTATAAGTCACCTTACGAGAACCAAATAATCCCAAAATACTAAGGCGCGATGCATTAACCCCATCTTGTTTCTTGTTTCTTGACATATCAATGCAACCAACACTAGTAGAAAACCACCCATTAGTCCCGGTTCGTAAGGGCCTTTAGTCCCGGTTCATGAACCGGGGCTAATGGGTCGTTACTAATACCTCCACCCATTAGTTCCGGTTCAAACCAGAACCGGGACCAATGTGTCTCCACGTGGCCCTGTGCGCCCACCCCAGTCAGGGGGCCTTTGGTCCCGGTTGGTGGCTCCAACCGGGACCAAAAGTCAATTTTTTTTAAAAGTGGTTGCTTTAGGGGTTATTTTTAGGTTGTTATTATAGCTAGCTAATATAGAGAAGTGTCCTCTCTTATATCTTCGTCCTTGGTTTATCAATGCTACTGCTATGTTCATTGCACCCCCGCAGATATAAAATGCTCATGCATGCTTGCATCATACATCATCATATATATATAATAACAAGTCCTACTAAGCATGCATCATCATATACAACTTCTACTCGTTATTAATAATAAGTCATACGATCATCATCCTCATGGTCATCGAACCCAACCCTACATAATTGTTCTTAGCACATGATCATCAGTATCAGGTAGGACCTAAACACCCTTAAGGTAAAATAGCATAAGACAATATAGACCCCGACTCTCCGTTATGAAGAATGGCGATCATCCTGTCTCCAATGTTTGCCCTTCGCTGAATGTTGCTTCCAAGAAGCTCTTTACGACTGTCCATACATTTTTTCTATTCTTTGATTATCATGTCTCCACTTCTTTTAGAAACCCGGTATGGACAGTTGAGATTCGTAGGACGACCTGGGTGTATGTTCAAAACATGAAGGCTACCCCGTGTATACATCCGATGAGGCACACAATCATTTGGGATTATCTGTTGAAAAACATAGTAATAACTTCGTAGTTAGCAATGATATGATATACTAGTTTTAGAAGTGTGCAAAAAGATGCACGAATGTTGTAATAGTAAAAAATCATACTAGGGTATCTCCATGGTAGTTACCGTAGTTCAACACGTGCACTAGTGGCACGTATTGACCATAATGTTGAGGAGTTCGATTGTAGACATTGTAATTCTCAAGATCAGTACAAAATCCGACCAGATGATTTTTCTCCTGATAAGTTAGTTCGGAGCCTTCGGTGTAGTAGGTTCTGTCTACCATCTTCCGCACATTCTTTGAAGAATGAAAATAAGCTGTCAATGGAGAATAAGTTGTCAACTATTTTCAAATAAACAATATAAATTACTTAATAACTATGTTAAGCTCACATGGGGGAAGAATTGGAGGTGTATCCACAAGGACGAAAATCGTAGGTCTCTCTTGCTCGATTGTATGATCACCAAGATTCATGGTAACAAGCATACCCTCATCAAAACCATACATCTTGCAAAGTGCTTCCCAATTTTTGCAACCAAAATGGGTTACACTCTGAGCATTGTACAACTTTACTTGAAAATCCACACCATGATGGGTACTTAGGATAATTTTTTTGGTTTCGAAACTTTCATGGTTTTCAAAACCCATCCTCTCCAAGACATAGCGTCTTGCAAAGCATGGGATAAGCTAGTCAAATTGGAAAAGATGAAAAATATTGTCATGATTAAAATAGTTGAAGTCATGAGTAATTACGAAAAAACTATTATCATTGGTTGCGTACCGTATGAACATCGAAGGTCTCCTCGAGCTTAATGCTGAAGCACCGATCTTCGTCTAGCACAATGAACCTGTCGCAGATACATCGGTCGTCGTGGCACCAGTCGCACTCCCCCGGGCGGTTTTCGTCGTCCGATGAGTACGACATTTCTGGCCTATACGTTCATAATTCAAATATTAAACTAGATCATTATTATTAATCATGGATTGAGTATCGATGATCGATGTACGTAGCTCCTCCTTTCATTCCCGAATGCATTATTAATTATATCAAATTGTCTAGCACACGGGAATGAAGGAGAAGTTATCCAATATGAGCATTCAATAAGCAAAACCAAATCATAAAATAAGCAAAACCAAATCATAAAATAAAGTATAGTATTCAAATTAGCATGCATTCAATAATTATAAGCAAAAGTACATCATCTCTTGGTGTCCGTACATCGTCGAATATTACCACTAATACAACTAGAACCGTAGCTCCCGATGGGTATCGACGCGGGCGGTGGACACCCAAAGATAAGGAACCATCACAGGATCATAGCTCCAGTGAGATCCCTGAAGAACCTGCCAGGTATTGTTGAACCTCCCCTCCAATGCAACCATGTAGCGACGGACGTGCTCGTCCTCCTCGCTGACACGGTGACGTACCACCTCCGCGGTGTCCGGATGCCTCACGACCGTCACTGGCCCACGCGACCGCCACCAAACAAGGATCGGGTCAACAACGGGCTGCCTCCTCACCAACCTACGTCCCCCGGAAGGTAGCACCTCCCAATACCAACCCGGCGGAGCCCAGTCCCGAACATGGCCCTGATCAAGCAGGCCTCCACCGCCGAGTCGACGACGACAAGGATGCGGGATAGGCATCGCCGACGTCGACACGGGAACTACTTCTATATATAGTTAAATAAAAGTAGTTTTATTAATTAAATCAACTATGTAGTTCAACTACTAAGCACTTACTATAAATAAATAAGTAGTACTTACTAAAAACAAACTACTTCTATATATAATAAAATAAATTAGTTTATTAAATCAACTAGCTAGTTCAACTATATATAAACTACTTCTTATTTTTTTTCCTTTTTCTAAATACTATGAACAAAAAAATCATTAAAATTCTATGAAAAAAATTAATTACACAATCTAAATATCACCAAAAAAATCTATTAACAATAATATCACCAAACATGCATATTCAATAATAATATCACCAAAAAAATCTATTAACAGAAAAAATCTAACATAATATGAACAAATTAATTACTACACATATCTAGTCTAACAAAAAAAATCTAATTAATCTAACAAAAAAAATCTAACATAATATGAACAAATTAATTACTACACATGTAATCTAACAAAAAAAATCTAATCTAACAAAAAAATCTATGAACTACATATCTAAATTACTACACATCTAACCTAACAAAAAAAATCTATGAACTACAAAAAGAATCTAAAAAAATCTAACAAAAATAAAAAAACGCTCACGTCGGCGTCGAGGCGGCGCGGTGCAGGGGCGACGACGGGCTCGGGGCGGCGCGGAGCATGGGCGACGAGGACAGCGGGCTCGGGGGCGGCGACGGGGACGACGAGCTCGGGGCAGGGGCGACGGCTGGCGACGTCGGGGCGCGGCGGCG